AGCTCGTGCCTATCAGCAGTGATTGTACATTTTGCTGGTAAATAGTGAGGTTGCCATTGTAAGCAAAGTTGATCACAACCTCCTGGATACTGGGGTCCACGCCTTGCATTCCAATCTCATCCTGCTTGCACTCCATCACGTCATTTGGAAACATCGCATGGAAGTAACGATTAAGGCTGCCAAGACGATCTGGTGAGCACTGAATTTGTGGTCCCCAATCTTGAGCATCACATCGCACAGCTTGCCCTACTGGCAGATCTCCTCCTGCCGTAGCTGCAGCAGGGCAACTCGGACTCCAAGAAGTACAACAGGCCCCTCAACCACCTTCCACCACCTTCCAACGCCACTGCATGACCCACTAATGGAATTTTAAAACCATTATCTTCTAAGCCAATAATTCAAATAAAACTGCTTTTAAAAATGCTTTATAACTGATGCTCTGTTAATTCAGACTCTTAAGAGAAATAACAAAATATAAAATAAAAATTATCTATTAAGCTAACTAGACTGTGCAAACAGCATCAATTATAAAGCTTAGTTTCAAAGGTGTGATGCATGAAAACAAATTCTACAAATTTGTGAAACTGACATAAAACTTTAAAAATAGGTCCGGCGTAATAGTCTAGTAGCTAAAGTCCTCGCCTCGCACGTGCAGGGATCCCATGTGGGCAGTAGTTTGCATCCTGGCAGCCCACTTCCCATCCAGCTCCCTGCTTGTCCCCTGGGAAAGTAGTCGAGGATGGACCAAAGCCTTGGGACGTTGCACCCATGTTGAAAGACCTGGAAGAAATTTCTGGCTCCTGGCTTCAGATTGACTCAGCTCTGGCAGTTGCAGCCACTTGGGGAGTGAATCAGTGGACAGAACATCTGTCTCTCCTATTCTCTGCATCTTACTTTCCAATAAAAATGAACAAATCTTTAAAAATTAAAACAATTTAAAAATAAAGTAAAAATGTAGCTAACTAGTATAAGATTTTAAGAGGAAACATACAGCGCTTATCAAGAAGATACAACATCATATCAATTAACCGATGGCTAAAGCCATCTTAAGCATACGACAGAATCCACATGGCCAAAAATAGTTAATGACAAAAATCAGGGCAGGTGTCTGACCTAGCAGTTAAACCAGTGGGTGGGACTCCAACTTGCCATTTCAGACTTCCTGGTTCAAGTGTAGACTCCACTGTGGTTTTCTACCTCCTGATCGTATGTGTGCTGGTAGGGAACGGTGATGGCTCAGCTAGTTGGGTCTCTCTCTGTGTCTCAACACATTTTTAACATAATTAATTAAATGGAAATACACAAACTGTAGCTATATGATGCCTCTGATTCACTGATACTTATAATTCAGCATAAATTAGAAGCTAATTGGGCCATAAAATCTGTTTTTAATGCCTTAGACAATGCCCAACTCCAAATACAATGTTGGCAATCTAACTGTCTAATAACTTTAGAAAAGAGCAATGATGAAAATACAGGTTTCTTTTGTTAAAGAGGAGATAATAGGCCCAAAATGGAGACATCCATGCTAAAGGTCTGTCAAACCAAAACCTAATCAGCCCTTTCATGAAATCAGGAGAGATGACAGCCAAATACACTAAGGAGATCAGGTTTTAAAAGATTATCAGGAGACTCACTGAAACAAGTCAAAGGGAGCCCAGTCTACTTGAGTCAGTATAACAGGAGTTACACTCATGCAGAGAAAACAACCTGATAGCAATCAATGCACTTATTACACTCTGCTGTTTTTTTGTTCCTTATAACGGTGCCTTATTAACTAACTACATCCTGAAGCAACCCTTAAGAACAGGTGTTGGAGATCACGGGAGGGAATGAAAAGGGTCAGCTAAGTAGCAAGCTGACTCAAGAACTGGAAGCCATACCTCACCCACCCTGTGTACTTTTCTCCCTACCTACTGATCAAATGAGCCTTCCCCCAGTTTGGACTCCCCCTCACTGAGCACTGGAGGTGTATCACATAACCATTCTCCTTCCCAGGCTCATGAGAAACCAGGAAACAGGGAGGGGCACCCTCTCCCCCTGAGGATACAAGAGGAAAGTAGATACATCTTCCACTTCGCCCCTCTCTGCTCACTCTATCTCTGAATGTGTTTCTGTGATTTCCTTTTAAATCAACTTTACAAAAAAAAAAAAAAGTGCCTTTTAAGAAGACGGTTCTGCCACACCCTGTGATACAGTTTATTTCTATGTTGTAGACATGAGGCTGCCTGGCCCACGAATATAGGCCAATTTGATAACTAAAAACTCCATTAAATATTCTTCTTAATACATCCCTGCAGATAACAACAGGAAGGAATCTGAAGTGTGTAACATTACTTTGTATCTTAGTACCATGTGAAGAGAGCAGGAAGTTATTTGGAGAGATAAAGAGTATCCATGTGGATGCATATTTTCAAAGTAACATAAGGAACACTGTTGAGAAATGTTATTGAACTAAAGGATAAAATCAGAATGCAATTTTTTTAAAGAGAAATCTCTGAAAAACAGCACTCATACAGGACAAACCATGCACATTTCTGGCACTCATTAGCTCCCCCTAGCAAATGATTAATTAAGACTAGTTTGGGGCCTGTACCATGGAATAGCAGGTTAAGCCTCCACAAGCAATGTCAGCATCCCATATTGGCAGCAGTTCAAGTCACGCAGCGTCATTTCTGATCCAGCTCTCTGCTTACCGTCTAGAAAAGCAGCACAGAATGGCTCAAGACCCCGGGACCCTGCACTCAAGTGGGAGGCCTGGAAGAGGCCTACTAGCTTTGGATCAGCTCAGCTCCAGCCACTGGGGCCATCTGGGGAGTGAACCAGAGGATGAAAGATCAATCTCTGTATCTCCTTTTCTCTGTAACTCTGACTTTCAAATAAAAATAAGTCTTAATTTAAAAAAAAAAGAGAGAGACTAGGTTTAAAAGCTCTGATTTACATATAGTCAATTCAAAGGATCCATGAATCCATTGGTGCATGGTAACACCAGATATCTTCCCTGTATCTTCTGCTCTCTGCTCTTGGAAAAATGACCCTAAGAACTTCACCAAGGCACTGTGTACACTTTGACAGTACCTCAGCAGAAGGTCAAAGGGAGAATTACACATTTCCTTTTTTTTGCTTCTTTCCTGTGCAGTCTCAGGTTGGCTACATCTTTTGAATTAAAGGTCACTGCATTTCCAAAGGCTGTCAGCTCTACAGGAATCTCTCCCACTCTGTCGTAACCTGTCCCTCCCCTGGTCCCTTCTGGCTAAAACTGAAAATGTCTCTACTGCTGCTGATTTTAGGACTAGTCTTGATAATTCTCTAGTTTTCAACTATATTTATTCCAAGTTAAAAAGCCCTCCTTAAATTATCCTGATTTCGGTGTATCAGCTGTTTTCCATAGAGACCCAAATGATAAGATTAGTACATTTAAAAAATAATTCTTACTTGAACTTTATAATATGCAATGATAATAAAGGAGTTCTCATAAATAAGCATTTCATGACAATCTTGGTAGGCAAGCAAGTGGTATAACCTTTCAGGAGAATACGACTACAAAATAGTTCTTCTCCCAAAACCCCATGCTAAAGGATGTATCCTAAAAGATACTACTCCAACAGTCAAAATCCATGTGTAGAAAGCTATTTATTCTAGCATTATCTAAAATTGGACATAATGCAAACATTGGAGACTCTGGGATGACACTGGGTAACTGTTCCCCATCGCTGAGTACTGAGGCAGTTGGGATGATGCGTGAGGCTTCTCCCTTAATCCCCTCCCTTACCCAGATACAGGAACAAGAAAAAGGAAAGTTAAAAACAATGGTCTCGTCTACTTTTCCCTAACCCTTAACTCTTTCCATCCTAACCAACTATGTAAGCATCATCAAAAATAAAATTAAATAGTATTAAATATATGTTCATATTTTGAACAATGATACAATCACTTATTATGCCATGATTTCCTGATGAAATACACATAATACTTCAATATCTTTCCAATGTAGCATACTCCATGTTAATTCCAACTAAGATCTTGGTTGTATATGTAATATGTTTTATACTTTTATATCCTTTACACTCCATTATCAGAAATTATCTGATACACAACACTACGGGATGTTTAGACATCATGGAAAACATTCCTTGGAAAAACAAACTTTTAAAAATATATAAAACTGGGATCTTGAAATGGAGAAAACATATACAGCTAACTCATTTGAATAAAGTTTGACTTTGGAGGCCAGCGAAATAGTAGGTAATATCCCTCAATGTCAAGGTCAGGTAGCTTCACTAAGGCAAGTATTTATGCATTACAGGGTGTTAGCAGAGTCCCTGACCTCTAGATACTAACACTCTCCTCATCCCTACTTGTGATAAACTGTCTCCAAACATGGCAGATCATCCCAAGGATACAAAATTGCTCTACACAATCACCACAGCAAAACAGAAAGTCGGAAGAATGTGGGTTATGTGTTTAAAAAAAATATCAACAGTATAGCAGATGTCAGAGAGCCAGTGTCAACCGCGTAGGGACAGAGACTAAGGACGAGGCTGAACTACTGATGAAGGAATACAGGAGAGCACAATACAGAGATGACTGAGCCTGGCCGTGAAGAAGACAAGGAGACAACTTCAATGTCACCTGTGACAGAGCAGTTTGCAACAAGCTAAATGTCAGTGAAAACAATAAAATCAGCTATACAGAATCCAGATAAAATATACAAAAGAGCTGCTTAAAAGCTTCTAGGTACCACATAGGATTTAAAATGGAGTAAGGCTCTATGAGAGAAGGGACGACCAATGCAGGAGCATCCCACATGGAACTGGCCTTGTCAGTAAGCGCACTGCCCAGGAAAAGAAAAGCTTTAGTGCAAACTGGCAGTCCCTTGCCTAGGAAAATGCCTGGGATTTTTGGCTGTTCAAGTAGACAGAATGGTGGAGGAAATTACACAGAATTGAAACCTCGTGTGTCCACACACTCTCACATCTAGGCAAGGGCCTAAACCTCACCTGAGCAGGAGTGATTCTACCAGAATCCTTGCAGAAGTACCTAAAAGGAAAGACACAGGGATTATATTCAAGTTGGCAATCATAGAAAACCACACCACAACAGGGACACAGAGGTAAGAGTTCAAAAGCTTCCAAGGTTGGCAATGTTGCTGAGGACTACACCAAAGTCACTCAACAGGAATAAAGGCAAAACAGAAATCAAACTACTTCTACACAAAATAAGATCTGTCCAGACACGATCATCATGCTAGGGGAAAAGCCACATAAGACAAAATGCCTTAATTTTCATAGGAAGAATACAACATCACGTAAAACTTTTTAACCTTGGAGTACAAAACCCTTTTAAACAAAAATGAAATACAATTCATGTAACAATATATAGTTAGAAGCATATAGTTCAGTAGTCTTACTTTATTCACAATGCTATCCAATAACTATGATATTCTTATCACCTCAAAAAGAAATCTGATCTACACTGGCAGTAACTCCCCATTCTCTGTTCCCTTCACTCTAGCGTCTGGCAATCATGTCATCATGTGTTTGCCTATTGTGCACATTCATAGAAAAAGAAGTCATGCAATAAACCTTGCTTTGTGACTGGTTTCTTTCACTGACCATGAAGGGAGGGGTATTCATGTCCTAGCATGTATCATCATACCATTCCCTTTTTGTTGCTGATTGATACTCTAGTGTGAGAACCATTTTTGCTTATTATTTACAAGTTGATAGACATTCAAGTTTTTTTTTTGAGGCTATTATGAACAATGCTGCTATGAACATTCTCATTCAGGTATCACTATGAATACATCTTTTCAATTATCTTGCATACAACCATGAGAATGCAATCATTGGGTCACAAGCTAGTATTATTTCAATCTTGAGAAATTACTAAATTGTTTTGCAGTTGCATCAATTTGTAATTTTTTACTAGCAATGTGTAAGAGTGAATAAAGTCACAAAGAAAACATCCACGTGATTATTACTCAGATCTGGAATTCATTTTAAAAGAGCACAAAACATTTTGCTGCAAATGAAGAAAAGAATGTAATTATCAAATGTTATTGGAGATCACTAATTTACAAAATCTCCTTCATTCCAAAATTTAAACAATCAGAAAAGTGATTAACACCACAAAATGTTTGTTCTAATAGACAGAGAATATATAAGCATTAAAGTTATTCACATTAAGAAAAGGTAAGCATGGGACCAGCACTAAGGCATGTTAAGACAAAGCCATATGGGTGCTGTTTCTAGACGCAGCTGTTAATCGAGCTCCCAACTGAGCTCCCTGTTTATAGACAGGGAAAGTAGAGAAAAGGAGAGGGATTGAGGACCTGAGTCCCTGCACCAGGTGGGAGAGCTGTAGGAAGCTTCTGGCTCCTGGCTTCAGATATGCTCAGCTGCAAGCATTGTGATCATTTGGGGGAGTGAGCCAGCATATGAAATCTCTCCTTCTCTCTATCCACTATGTAAATCTTTTTTAAAAACAAAAATGAAATAAATCTTGAAAGAAAAAAGTCAGCAGAAACAAGTCAGTGTGGAAGTAGAAAATACGTTTTCACATCAGAGTTTTGTTATTCTTATATTCACTAAGAAAAAATTAATTTTACGGTTCTGAGACCTTGCTGATTTTCAATTTGAAGAATACTTACACAAAATGTATTTTTCTCACAGAATGATGTATATAAAGTAACTGAAATATATGCCCATTTCCGACCCAAAATGTAGGTTACTGTGACAATTAGGGAACACCAAAGCTCATTAACACATGAGCTGCATAGTACTCTGCTCAGCTGCCACAAGGGTCACCCTCAGTCACCTCTGCATCAAAGTAATTCAGATTCCTGACATTCAAAACCATATTCTGACATGTTCAGGAATTGTTCGAATATATAAATGGTATACTTACTGTAACTCAGAATTACAGTAAGAGGGTATTTTGTTTTCCAGAACTGAAAATTCAAGTTGATTTAATCTCTATCATCTATGAATATTTTATTAAAATCTCTTTTTTTGTTTCATTAACAGAAGGAATAACTGTAATCTCTTCAAGGTTTAAAGCAATGAACATTACTTTTAAATTTAACTTCAACATCAAAATAACCTAAAAATCTAATGCCAAGCAAAACTAAAAATTCAAAACCTAAATCCCATGCAATCATGACAGAGATAATATTAAGATTGGAAGCAAGGCCACAGAATCCGTAGTTTTAGCAAAGTCCCAAGAAAGCAGCCCAGTACAGAACTTTGTGCTGTGATTTGAGACCATTAGGCAACACTCCTCATTTCCAGCAACTTGCTAAAATTATAATCAGTTTTCAAGCTGCTAATGTTTATATCATATTACAACTTTTCATCACCAAGGAAAATATATAATGACAATATATATATCAATTTATTGCATTAATCTAGTGCTAATTTCTGAAGTTTACTTTACACATTTTAAAAGTCAAAACTCACTTTATGTTTTCAAAGAATATAGTCACATTAGCACAGGTAATATAATCAAGTACCAGCATCAAAACTGTGAAATATCAGAACAAACCTATTAACCAATAACTCCCCAACTACCATATGACTCATCTATTATGAGCAATAATGGAAGGATATTAACTCAAAAGAAAGTATCATTTTGCATTATCACAGATATGTTATCATTTGTCCTACTCCCTGCAGAGTATAAGCAATGCAAAGTGAAAAAACAAGTTTATCATCCTTTAGATTATCCAGAATTCCTATGGTTCTCATAATGCTCTTTTTTACACCAAATGTATTCTCTTCATAATAATTTTCTCTTATGATTTTCATTTTATATGCCATTCTCTTATATCCGAGAAAATGCTAAATCCTAAACTTTCATTAACATCTAGTCACTTGTGCTGCAAATGAGCATCTCACTTTTGAAGACAAGCTAAATTTTTTTTACAAGGTATCAATAAGGTTTGAAATTCAAATGATGGCTGGTATAATATGCGAGCAGAATGTGTGTCTTTTGGAAGACCTTATATGTTTACTGTGAGTAGTTTATTTGGGATTGTGCAGAGACAATCATCTCTGATCAAGAAGTATAATGCCCAAGTAGCCAGAATGGAGAAGGAAATAGCGCTAACTCTGAAGACTCACAACAAAATAGATCAGTAAATACCAACAACGTTTACAGAAAGCTTCCCAAACAAATAATGTTTTCAAAGGAACACTAGTTTAAAAAATAAATATATATTATTGAATTCTACAGAAAGCTACCCTGAGATAATAAACCGTAGGCAGAATAATGTGAAATTGCATATGAAACAAAAACATTTTAGATTTAAAATACAAGTAATTATAGTATGGAGTCAGATTTTAGCCCACCTCTTTCATCGATGACTGTTCATCATGACAGAATTTCATATAGGCAGTTTTTTAAAAATTTATTTATTCTTACTTCTTTCTAAGTGATTATCATCACTCTATGATACAGTTCCATAGGCCCTGGAATTTCCAAGTCCCTCCATCCCAAGTTCCCCCATATTATTACTATAGCATAGCTCCTCATAAACAGTTACACGTTTATCATTGCGGGCACGGACAATGGCAGAGAGTCCAGCATCAATACAGTTTTTTTTTAAACAGAAAATTACAAACAGAAAGCTAAAGAGATCCTTTACATGTTAACATAATGCAATTTAGTAGGAACACTGCTAAGTTATCCCATTCATCCATTTAAAAATGAAGAAACTCATTTTGCAATTCAACAATCTGGGAGCAGTCAAACCAAACCCATTATTAAAATTTTTTTTAATTTTATTTGGGGTTTCCCCCAGCAAAACTCATTATTAATAACTAGTATACCTAGGAAGATTTGATTGAACAATTCCATAAAAATGTACTGTGCCTCATATTATTTATTCTATTTTATTTACTTATTCTAAGAAGGAAAGTACAAATTGTCAAGACTGGCAATAGTTATTATATGCAAACAGATTAAAAGCACATTAACAAATATGTAAAACAGATTACTGAAGTATAAATGCAAGAAAAATTTTAGTCATGTACATTTAGTCAAAACTTAAAATTTTAGAAACATTTATATTGGAATTTTATAATCTATTTTTTAAAATATGAAGCTACAAAACAAAACCAAAAAAACTAGTAAGATAAAAATGAAGTTCTATGAATAAATATTTTAAAATTAAACACTCTAGGATCATAACACTGACAATACTAATTATCTTTTCTAGTCTTGACAGTTACGTTGCATACTGTTTGGGTGACTGATGGGATAATTTTCTTCATTTTCTCTCAGTTTATTCTGGATTGTGTAAGAAAAGAATATTAAAATAATTAGCACCTCTAAACAAAGTACTTGATAAAGTTTCAGCTAAGATAAAATGTAAAAAAAAAAAAATATATCTAATGTCTTGATTCCAAGGCAAACAATTAAACCTCATCTGCTAAAGAAAACTTAAGTGAAAATAATTCATTCTTAAAAGTCAGTCAGTTAGTATTAGTATTAGTTACTCGAGGACTCTGAAATGTTAACTGCCCTTTCATCAGCAGTTAGTTTGGGCCAGGATAACCTCAATTATGCAAACATATCTGTCTGTATATATTATGACTAAATGTCTTATTCGTCAAGCATGTTTCATTAACAATGCTGAAAAGTCACAAACAGAAACAATACATATCAAATTACTTCAGTTCTTTAGGCCCACATTTTCATAACTTCATAATAGCATTATATAAGTATTTTTTATTTAATCCCAAATATTAATTTCAGCAACAGCAAATGTTTTGTCACTCAACTGGAAAAAATGGCAGACATCACTAATCAACTTATTTAACAGTTTAGTAAATTTCTAATCATACATTTTAGGTTTGCATGTGTCTTATATAATTTGTAAGTCATACAAAGTAAGCTAATATTCAATTAATACAAAGTACATTCTTTGCCTTGATCATCTGAATTTTTGTTGTTGTTTATAAAATTAATCACAGTTAGCAGGGTAGAAATCGCTTTGGGCATCATGAATGACATCCAAGAGATGGGAAAGGATTAGTTCTCAGTTGCTGCCAGTTATAGCACCAGGTGGCTTTTTCTACAGTGAAGGTGTTACCGATAATCCCATTACACTGGTACTAAATCTTGCAGACATCAAAATTATCACCAAGGTTCCTTTTCATCCGATCCTTTCCAAATGACTGGAAGTTGCTTCACCTGAAAGAAGTCAAATCCACATGCAGCTGCTGTTTTAGCAGGCAGCAAACTCCCTGAGAATGCCAGTCATGATTCAATTTTGCTGTGCTGGTGGCCCCCTATTCCCTGTCCAATAATACATCTGTTAAAAAATCCTACAGCTACAAATCAAGTTTAATCCTACCAGGGACCTCATGTTGGTCTTGTCTTCCAAAAAGGCAGCAGGTTCTGCTGTCTATCTCTGCTAGTGTCTGGGGAATACTCTTTAAATCCCAGCCCTACTTAGAAGAATAAGCTAAGGATCACAAAACATGACCTCAAAAACCCTGATATGACTATATTCTGACCCAGAGGCATTCATTCTAGGTGAAGATTAGAACTTTGCATAATAAGATTACACAGCAAGTGAATGATATCAAGGGACTATCCATATGCAGCCGCCTGGTTTTGTATAGACAGCCTGTGCTCTGCAATATGCAGTGCAGACGAAAAAGAGCTTGGTCTTTCTAGCTGAAATAAAATAGATTCACATAAATTAGTGGGCCATTTCCAGATTCCTAAATCCCCTATTACATCTTTTATTGACAGCTCCTGTGAGGATAGCACAAATGTTATTCCTTTTTATTCTATGCTTCTCTAACAATCATGCTCTGTAATTGAAATGTACATAGATTATGTCTAGAAATTAACATCTTGTTTGCTGTAATCTAGGATTACAATTGACTGTGTACATAATAAAATTAGGAAATCAATGGATGGATTTATCATCTCCAAGAAACTAGATGTATTGTCTGAAGGATAGTTGAACAGTTTGTGCCGATGCTTCAAATGCAAGAGGTCATAGTGAGTAGTAAATAAATATTTAAATGAGTCAAAGAATACAAGCATCCACTAATACCTACATAAAAAGTTAGATATTTAAAATTAGGTTGCAAAACTGAAAACTTAGAAAATGTGAAAAAACTCAGATTTATGAAAATATGGTTTTATCTAATGCCTACTAGAACATGAAGGACGATATTTTAGATATAGAATCTGCAGAGTTACACACAAATCATATTACACTATAATTATACCAAATAACTTAATTAGCTCACACTGATTATAATTCTTGAGCCCAAGGTATTAGGAATTAGTATTTTTATTACATTTCAGTGATTTCAATACATGAAGACATTTCAAATGTGCAGAACCCTACAAATACA